ATATAATTCTTTGTCTTTTTGGTTAAACCTCGTGTTTAGGCTTCATGAATTATTAGGTAATCGATCTCCCATTGAACTATGCTATCGATAATTTATACCTAATTCATTGACTGCAAAGGCTGAAGCCACTGTCATTGTTTATGAGATGGCGTATGTTTCCCAATTAAAACATGTTTTTGTCGCTGAACGTGAAAAAATTATTAGGTGAATCCGAATTATCATATTATTTATGATCTCAATCAATAAAAATTTTTCATCCCATTTTTCCAAATTGAATCTTTACTTCTTTTTTACGTGTAAATAAAGAGTGAGCATTTATTTGGAAGTTATTTTAAAATTGATAAATGTTATTCACTGGAACTATATATAACATGGTGAGGTGGGACCATAAAATAATTTCTCCTGAAAGCGGGAAAGAAATTAATGTTTTCCTAATCATACTTAAAGTTATTTTAAAATTGATAGATGTAATTCACTGGAATTATAGATATACTTTTGGTCACTGATTTCAAAATATATAAGATATGATCATTTTCGTTTTTATTTAATTAATATACGATCACTTTTGTTTTATTTTTTAAGATGTGGTCACCATTGATTATCTGCCTTTAATAGTTAACATATTAAGTGGCATAATATTTTGGTATAATCTCACTTTTGGTCATTATTATTTGCATATTATCTCAATTTAGTTATAATTTTAATAAATTAAAATAAATTTAATCCTTCAATCGAATGGTGTCACGTGTCATCGATTCCATGTGTTGTGACATGTGTCATCATTTGGTTGAAGGACTAACTTTATTTTAATTTAATATATCTATTTTCTTCCAATTTGCTTTGCTTTGTTAAATTAAAATAAGATAAATTTAAATAAAGTTAGTATTTCAACTTAATGGTGACACACGACACGACACGTGGTATCAATGACATGTGACATCATTCAATTGGAGGATTAAATTTATTTTTAATTTATTAAAAGTTTGACTAAATTGGGAGAATATGTAAATAATAGAGACAAAATATGTGATTATACCAAAATATTTAATGACAATTAAATAATGATGATCACATCTTAATTAAATATTAATTAAATAAATTTAAATAAAGTTAGTCTTTCAACTTAATGGTGACACACGACACGACACGTGGTATCAATGACATGTGGCATCATTCAATTGTAGGATTAAATTTATTTTTAATTTATTAAAAGTTTGACTACATTGGGAGAATATGTAAATAACAGAGACAAAATATGTGATTATACTAAAATATTTAACGACATTTAAATAGTGATGACCATATCTTAATTAAATATTAATTAAATAAAAACGAATGTGACCATATATATATATATATTTGCTTAATATTTTCTTTTCTATAAAACTATTTAATTCGTTCTTAACTAAAAGAGTTTAATGTATGGGGTTAACGCAAAACTCTTCATGTTCGCTTTATGGCTTGCACGTGGAAACTTTCGTGCATGTGCTTCGTGATTGCCATGCAGTGAAGGTAATCTGGGAAAGGATACTCTTTCCCCCTCTGTCGCATAATTTCTTTGATTGCTCCATCTCCGAGTGGTTGTGATGCAACTTATCATGATAAAATTCACGCCCTATCTCTCTCTTGGGATTTATTTTTTCCTACACTTATTTGGAAAATCTTGAAACAAAAATTGTTTCATGTTCACCGACTTGAATCCTTCCATGGAGGATGTTTTGCGTTTGAGCATTGTATGGTCCTCTCATTTTACTGTTACTCGTCCTCTTATTCCAGCCCCTACAACCCATTCCAAGCAGGAGATAAGGTGGAAGCCCCCCAGATAGATGGATATGCCTCAACACCGATGTAGCTATAGATACCTACACAAGCTTGGGTTCTATTGGTGGCGTTTTCTACTCTAGTGCTGGAGACTGGATAACCGGCTTTCATAAGTTGATTGGCATAACTACGCCCCTACAAGCTGAACTCTGGGATATCTACATCGGCCTTCAACTCGCTTGGATTCATCGTTTTGATTTATTACAGATACATTCGGATAGTCTGCAAGCCATTAAGCTGCTTAATGAGGCCAATTTGGATCGGGATTTGTTTTCGCTAGTTCGAGTTATCTCCTCGCTCTGCTGTCGTAGCTGGTATACTGAATTCCTTTGGGTTCCACACGAGGGAAACATGTCTGCTAATGGAATGGTCAAACTTCCTATTGTTCAGAATGAAGAGCTGCTCTCCTTCCCCACTGCACCTGCTACCATCGTGTCTCTACTTGAAAGGGACATTTTAGGGCTCTCTTACTTAAAGGCTTCAGCTAGTTATTAAAGCTTTTGTCTTTATTACATTAAAAAATAGAGTTTAATGTATAAAATTATTTTATTAAACTAATTTTTGTAAATATAGCGGATAAAATATGAGTTATAAAAAGTTAAGTTATTAAATTTATAATTTCCTTAAATAAATCCTCCCATCGGGCCTACGTACAAAGAAGGCCCTATAGAATTAGCTGCACATATTATTGGTAGTTTTGACCTTAGGTGGACTAATTATTTAGATTATGTTTTATTTGGGAAATAAGGTATTTATTATAGTGACTAAAACGTGACTAAAACGTGACGAGTTCTAATAAAATATTTTTTTTATTAGAATGGATTACTCTAATGTAACAAAATCTAATAAAAATAATATTTTATTAAAATTTGTCACTTCAACATAATGCGTTTAAATAAAAAATATTATTTGAAAAAACTCAACATGTAATATATATAACGAATTTATACTGTATTATAACATTTGTCATTTCCCAAATTAATTTTGAAAATGACCGAATAGAATATATTTTTTAGTCGCATGGCCTTTTGGGCCAATTTTGCCCAGATTATTTGCCAAAACCCAACCAATCAAATTTCTATACTCCACGATTCTAACATATCATCATCTACAACAGTAAAATCCAAACTACAAAGCAAAAGGAAGCCTGAATCGAAACAGCAGCACTGTTGACGATGAATCTAAATTGTCTTCAACCTTTGTCTAAACCACCCAATCATCTTCTCCCTCTGATTTCAACATTTCCAGGTTCTTTTCACTTCCTCCGAAACAAGCCAGCATCAATTCCAAGCAATTCAAGCAGAGACTCCAGGAGTTACAAGGACGTAAAATTTATTAACAGGAAGACAGGGATTGTGCATGGGTGGTTGTATCCAGTGGATCCATGGGCACCAAATATTGACTCACAAAGCATTGCCTCTCAACTCTTCGCAGTTTCTTTGTTTCCGTACATTGGGTTCTTGTACTTCATCACCAAGTCTAAGTCTGCTCCCAAGCTCACCCTTTTTGGATTCTACTTCTTGCTTGCCTTTGTGGGTGCCACCAGTGAGTTTCCTGGAAAAATACCCTTTTTCTTTCTCTGCTTTAATTTATGTTCTGGGATTGCTTATGTTCTATGTTTCGGAAATCAAGTGGAACTTTGAGTTGGGACTGGGTTTCTATTTTTCATGAAATAAAGAAATTATTGGATAAATTACACATATGTAGACCAAGTGAAATGCCTATTAGTTGCTTCTTTTTGATGATTTTGCAATAAACCCACAATGTTGATAAATGTGCTGATAGGGGTGCTAACCAGTTGAGCAGCTCACAATTAACTCGAATTCGATTTGATTAAAATTTGGTCGATATTTATTTGAATTGATTTGATTCCAACTCGACTTAAGACTTTAACGAGTTGAGTCAAGCAACCTCTAACTCAACTCTGTTATATTTTTATAATTTGGTGTATTATGGATTATTATTTTGAAGTTTAATATTTGGAATTTCTTCACACATTATTTTGATCATTTTTTTTGTTAATTTATGTTTATATTAAGCTCTACCGAGTATTACTAGATTTTACATATATTAAAAAAACAAGGCAAAATTTATGGCGAACTTAACAAGCAAAGAATTTTTTCTAAGGAGCACGAGTCGAACAAAATTTTATCGAGCTTATCGAGTATCGAGTTGATTCAAGCTCGAATCATAGTTTTTGACCTCAGTCGAGTTGAACATTGCTCATCTCTTGATTGACTTGCCCGGTAAGCAGCCCTATGTGACGATATGCATTTTTGGCATATTTCTCCTTGTTTTGTTAAACGGATTCGTGGCTTCTCATAGCCAAGGGCAGAGATTCATATTGTGACAATGGCAGCTCGATTCTAAGTCATCTATATGTTCTACAATATGATTTCTTCTCAATTGTGAGGCTGGAAATTTGTTTTATCCTGCAATTTGATTTTGCAATTGGTGGATTTGTTTCAACTCTACTGATTTCCTTTGAATTGGTTTCTTGATCACTTTGCATCTACCGAGCAGTCCCAGCTGGAATATACGGTAAGTTCTCGCTAACGAACAAGTTGATTTCTGCAGATGATTACCAAATTGTGACTCGGTCCTTTTGATGTCGAGACAGCAAAGGTGAAATATGGTACTTCCCTATCTAATGTGGACTGGTTACATGGAGGGGCTGAATCACTTCTCACAATAACCAACTTATTCATTGTCTTGGGGTTGAGACAAGCTGTTCGGAAGACCGAGGATGCGGAAGAAAGCACATCGAGTTCCGTTCCAGACGTGAAACAGAAGAAACCTTAAATGTGTATGAACTCGGTGATCACATGTGAAGGTACGAGTTCTCAGTTCAGTCGGTCAAGTGTAGAGGCGAGCAATGTTGTATCTACTAAAGGGATCATTGGAATGTAGATTCTTTTGCTCTTTATATACAGAATTATTTTTTTACTGAATTCGGGATCTGTAAACTTTCACAGTATGTTGATATCGACAATCTATTTGGATTAAATGTAAATGGCCATTGCTACTCGGTTGCAGTAAGTGTGAAGAGGGCCTTTGCATTGTTTTTATGTTTTGCCAGAAGGTTTCTGTATGCAAAGGTATCATTTTGGTGATAATCTGTGCACTAGTATTATGCTACTGTCAAAACTTGTCGTCTGAAAATTTCTTGCAACCAACACTGAATTGAAAGAGGCTTTTGTATTGTACAATAGTTCTCTGCAAAACACGGCTCACCATGAACATATGCAACCAGCTACTCTGATTGTGGAATCTGAATTCAACATCTACCGTTACTCTTATTCGGTTGTGAAAAAGAGAGTTAGGAAATAAACCCTTGGGTGTCAAACGGGAAATTCGGATCGAACTCCACATGATCAAGCGAGAAATCCAAGTCCACCATCGGGGAATTGGTGGCTGAAGTGTTGGCCGAAACCAGCTCTGTGAGATCAGATTCAGAACATTGTGTATTAAGAACGTCTCCGAAGTTGTTCATCTGAGAAGCTGGAAAATAGCTTAATTCAGGTGTACCAGGAGACATGAAAGGCGAAGAAAAGCTGCTGAAGATATTGCTGTAATCAATTACACCCGAAGGTGAAAAGCTATGGTTCTTGTTCTTTAAGCCCCCGAATGATGTTGAAGGAAAACAGGAGGGCACCATCTCTTTATCGTTTAAGCCCTCGGTCTCGACCCTTAGACATGCTGGAAAATCTAAGATAATATCTTGCGAGTGCAATGGCTGGTAATTGTTGTTCGATTTACGTTCTTGTTTTTCCGGCGATGCTGGTGGTAGAACTCCTCCATGATTTCCATTTCCACATGTGTGACTTCCTCTGTACGTGACCTCGAAAATGGTGGGATCTTCATCTGATCTCTGGACTTGCTTTGTTGCCCAGCAGTTTTGGGTATTCCGATGTGTGCATCTGTAATAGCTTCTGCCAAAAGTAAACCATCTATCATATAAATATCCAACATATTTGTCTATAGTTTTATTTGTTTAGTAGTTAGCAAATTATTAGAGATATAAGTGGAAAAGGCTCACCTAGGATATTTGGCTCCTAAGATATCTTTTTGCCCATATTTTCTCCAACTGTAGCCATCACCATGAGGACCCTCCAGTAGGTTTTCAGAGTTCACTCTCACCTGCTCCGTCCGTCCAGCCATCATCTTTCTGCAAAAATAAACTACATCAAAATCTGCACCAACATACAAGAAGCATAGAACTTGCAGCTTCAAAATTCACCTCTTCTTCGAGACATCTCCGGTATCCCGGTTATCGTTATCTAAATCGCCACACCGGGGGCTGCTTGTGATCGTTAGACGAGACTCCGCCACATATTGTCGAGGTCTCAGTTTCAAGATCAGAAGAGCTCTCTCATAGGAAGATAAAATCTTCCGTACCAACAAGTCCCTGGATTCAACAGAAGGTGATGATGTACCCAGATGCAACCTTAACTGCTTGGCTAACTCGAGCCCTTGAATCAGCTCATTCACCAGTGTACCCTGCTCCCAGTTCCACATGTTGTCCATGGAACTTGTTTAAGCAAAGGGGGAGTGTTTTGAATGATAAATTGAAAGCTTGGGGCTTTTATAGGGCAGTGCTTTGGGGTTTTGGATTAGAAAAATGGTCGTTGGGGGGATGTAGAAAGTTTGAAGTTTGACTGAAACAAACCGAGCTATTCAGCGTAGACCAGTCTTTGGTCATATGTGGAATTACAAGTAAGAGTAGTAGTGGAGTGAAGAAGAGTGAGACAGGTCCAAACCTCAAATGCTGACCATTTCTCCCCCTTTTAAATTACGTTCATCGTGGACCCACCTTCTTATCCCTATTTTCCCCTTTTGCTGATTGAGATTAAGAATAACAATATTTAATTGTGTATTCCATCCTTCCACTTTATGTAATGCATAATAATAAAAACACCATAATATTTGACTAAATAATCATTTTGATTCTTATTTTTTTGGAGTACTATAGCCCCAAACATCCTATTTTAAGGCAAAAACGCCCCTCTATAGATGAAAACTATTAGTCAAGAAATTGATAACGCTCCAAAAACGAGTTTTTTTGCCCTAAAATAAAACATTTGTGGTAGGGGTGCAAAATGCTTCAAAAATAATAAGGGGCTAAAATAACTCTAAATAACTCTTTAGTTCAACATTATGAGTATTTTTGTCTTAAAATGAAATGTTAGAGGTTAAAATACTCAAAAAAAAAGAAGTCAAAATAACTATTTAATCAAGTGTTATGAGTATTTATTGGCATTATACCTTTATATAATTCTAAGAAGTTAGTTCCTCCACTTTGATTTTTCATAATTTAATTCTCATGCTTTACGGAAACGAATAAATTAATTTAATTATGTAATAATATTAAATTTTATTTTTATTCAATGTTATGAGTCTTTTTGTCTTAAAATGAAATGTAGGAGTTAAAATACTAAAAAAAGAGAGTCAAAATAACTATTTGATCAAGTGTTATGAGTATTTATTGGCATTATACCTTTATATAATTCTAAGTTAGTTCCTCCACTTTGATTTATCGTAATTTAATTCTCATGCCTTACGGAAACGAAGAAATTAATTCAATTATTTAATAATGTTAAACCTTATTTTTATTCAACGATTATATGCATGGAATTGTAAAACATTAATAGTTGAACAATTTCTACGTAACAAATTAATAAAAAATCAACATTTTGAATTCGTATGTATACAACAATTAGACTAATATTTCAATTTTCATAAAATACGAGGATCAATTTCTGATAAATTAAAATAGAGTAAATAATTTATTAATTTTATCAAAATAGAGGGGTAAACTTCAAAATTAAACCAGCAAAAATCAATTGATGAGTATGAAGAAAGTCTAGTCTGCATAGTGGAGTTGGACCAAGAAATTTCAAAGCAACTTCCGCGTTATTGCTCTACCCATGTGGGGGAAAATTAGAGCTTATGTGTACTGAAAAATGACAATTTTTCAACAACCACTCACGCATATCTGCTTATTTATCCCTGCTTGCTATTAGATTCTTCACATTATGGACTAACAAAATTCGACTCGATTTAAAAAATCAAATTTTTTTGATTTGATTCGACTCGAAAAAAATTGACTCCAATTAAGTTCGAATTACAATTTCATAAACTCGACTCGACTCGAAAAAATTTCAAATTCAAATTGAGTTGTAAAATGCAATTCGAATAACACGAATAACTTGAATTTTTTAGTAACTAGTGGATTTATTTTCAAGTTTGACTCGAGTCCTTATACTTTGTATACAACAACAACAACAACAACAACAACACCAACAAAACCCTATTCCCATATGCAATGGGGTAAGGGGGAGGTAGGGTAGTAGACTGACCCCAACGCCAGGTTGAGAGCAGCTTCCGTGGAAGATCTCTAGCAGTCAGAAAATTAAAAATAAAGATAAAATGCAATGCATGTATAAATAAATAAATAAATAAATAAATAAATAAATACATAGTTGAACAGTCTTCATATGCAGTCTTCATATACGCGTCTGTAATGGGAAGTAATCCCTGCAAATAAATCCCTGCGTAGAAATCTCTGCATATAGACTGAAACGTAAGACCCGGCTAAATTTAAAAAGAGGAAACATGAAGAGAAAGATACACAGAAGTCAACAATAGCAAGCTACGAGAAGGAATAAAGTCAAATGGGTTAATACCTAAACTAAGGCAACACTACTCCGCTACCCTAGTTCTAAGCCTTCATACATTCCAATGACAAAACGTGTATAAAGTAGAAGTCATGGAAATTACTACAAAGGCATTAAAAAGAAGACATAGATGTTACACCCTATGGCTGCGAACCGCACTACTCGACTACCCTAGTCTTAAGTCTCCATACTTTCCTATCAGAGGTCATGTCCTCGGTAAGGGCTAATTCCTTTAAATCAGATCTCAAACAGTCTTCCTACTTTCGCCTTTGTCGTCCTCTCCTTCTGGCACCGTTAACCGTAATCGACTCTACACTCCTGACCGCATCCGACGGTTGTTGCCTAAATACATGCCCAAACCACCGTAGTCTTCCCTCCCTCAATTTTTTGGATACAAGCACCACCCCCAAGGATATCATAATAGCAGAGTTTTGTGTCATGTCCCTCAGAGTCCTACCATATGCCATCAAAGCATTCTCATTTCTGCGGCCTCCATCCTCCTTACGTGATCCTTCTTGATTGCCCAACATTCTGATCTGTACAGCAACGCTGGTATTATTGCCATTCTATAAAATTTTCCCTTAAGTTTTAGAGGCACCTTCTTGTCACATAAAACTCCAGTAGCAGCCCTCCACTTTAGCCATCCCGTTTTTATACGGTATGTAACGTCATCATCTACACCCTCATCTTTATGTATCATAGGCCCTAGGTACTTGAAACAATCCTTTGAGGGGATAACGTGTCCTTTTATGCATACTTCTACATCTTCATCGTTTTGGTTCCCACTGAAGTTTGAACATACATACTCTGTCTTTTCAATATTGATCCTTAGACCTTTTTCTTCCAAAGCAGTCTTACAGGTAGCCAGTCTACTATTTAGTTCAGTTCTTGTTTCAGTAACTAGGACGATGTCGTCAGCGAAAAGCATACACCATGGAACACCGTCTGGTGTTGCACAATAGATGTCGTCCATAATCAAGGCGATGATGTAAGGGCTAAGAGCCGACCCCTGGTGGAGTCCGATTTCCACCGAGAATGCCTTGGTGTTGCCAACTGTAGTCCTGACGTAAGTAGTAGGTCTATAGTACATATCAAGAATTGCCCGGATATAAGCAGTTGGGATCCGTCTCGTTTCCAAGGTCTTTCAGATCGTATCACGAGGAACACTATCATACGCCTTCTCAAGGTCAATGAACGCCATGTGTAGATCTCTATTTTTTCCCTATATTTCTCCATAAGCCGTCGAAGTAGATGAATCGCCTCCTTAGTAGACCTGCCTGGCATAAAGCCAAATTGGTTTTCCGAAACCCTAGTAACCTGTCTCAACCTAGCCTCTATCACCCTTTCCCATAACTTCATGGTATGGCTGAGTAGTTTAATACCTATGTAGTTGCCACAACGTTGGGGTTCTCCTTTATTCTTATAGATTGGTATCTCCATAGACTCTCTCCACTCTTCTGGCATATTGGAAGTCTCTAAAATAATATTAAAGATGTTAGCCAACCACTTAACTCCCTCTTCTCCTAGGGCCAACCACACAGTGATATGAATTTGATCTGGACCAACAGCTTTGTCCCTCTCCATCTTTCTAAGAGCCATTTTGACTTCCTCAAACCCAATCCTACTTGTAGGGCAGTCATTGGCCGTAGTATGATGGTCGATTGACCCATCAATGATACTATCTCTACAGGGAGAGGCACCATCATTAAATAATCCAAAGAAGTAACTACCCAAACCCTCTTAATATCATGATCTTTAACTAAAAGAACACCATTGTTGTCTTGAATAAACCTAATGCTACCATATCCTTTTTCCTATTTTCCCTGGATTTTGCAAGCCTGAAGATACCGTTTTGTCATTCCTTGGTGTCTAATCTCTTGTACATTTCCTCGTATGCCTTATCCTTTGCTTTAGCCACTATTTTCTTGGCTTTCCGCTTTGCCTCCTTGTATCTTTGTTTAGCTCTCGATATTTCTTCATCGTCATTGCATTGTAGAAACTCCTTGAAGCAAGTTTGCTTTATCTTCACCTTAGTTTGGACTTCTTCGTTCCACCACCACGATTCTTTATATTCCTTGACCTTCCCTATCGACAACCCAAGGGCGTTTTTGCCCACCTCTCTAATGGAATTTGCCATATTTTTCCATAACATATCTGCATTATTTGAGTTTGTAGTTCCAAAACCTGTATTAGACAAAACCTTACTCCTAAAGTCGTCAGCTGTCGCTCTATGTAAGTTCTTCCAAAGGATCCTAGGTTTACCAAGTTTAGCCCTCCTATGAGTTCTCTGCCCACAGTTTACGTGGAACACCAAAACCAACAATCTGTGTTGTGATGCACATGCCTCTTCAGGGAACACCTTACAGTCAATGCAAGCCCATCGATCCTGATTTCGAACAAGAATGTAGTCAATTTGTGTACAATGTCCCCATCTATGGAACGTAATCAAGTTCATATCTCTCTTGTTAAAGAAGGAGTTAGTAACCACCATATCGTGTGTAGTAGCAAATTCAAGAAATGTACGCCCCTTCTCGTTTCTACTACCAAAACCGAAACCCCCATGAACACTGTCATACTCGTTGGTTGCACTACCTATATGGCCATTGAAGTCTCCCCCTATGAAAACTCTTTGGTCCTCTGGAATGCTCCTAAGTACATCATCTAACTGATTCCAGAAGTAACGTTTCTCCCCCTCCCCTAGGCCAACGTGTGGGGCGTACACTGAAAGGACATTCACCACTTTCGCTTCTATAATAACCTTAATCATCACGATCCTATCTCGATATCTACAAACTTCAACTACATTTTCCTTGAGCCTAGAGGATACCAAGATACCCACTCCATTTCTAGCGTTATCTACGCCTGA